CTATATCTTATACATTAAAAGCGTAACTGTGCTATATCTTATACATTAAAAGTATAACTGCGCTATATCCTATACATTAAAAGTTTCCAGTTTTTGTTTTATATATCACTATTAATGGAAGGTGAAAATTATCTTAGAACTATTTGGATACGTTGCTTTTTAAAATTCTTTTGATTAGAAATTTTCAAGTCCTTTAGGACAGAAATGATTAATGCTTAATTATGTTATCCCTGAATGATAGAATAGTATTTTATACATTTAATTAACAGGCGTCGTTTTTGTTCTATGGAATCGTTTTTAAGTATGCTTTTATTTTCTGCACAAATACTTCGATAACAGTTATCATTATCCCTGCTTCTTTTTTAAATGGAAAAGCTGGTCTAATGTTGTTGACTTGATGATAAAAGATATTAAGATTCTTCTCAATATATATTTAAAGGAAAAGGTGCTGTCGGAAACAATGTGTATGCATATCCACGAGTTACAAAAGTTCTTGTTTTTTTTAATGTAAAATGTTTATATCCGGCATATTTTCAGAGAATATGAAGTGATAACACAGATGTTAGAACTTTTCGTCTTTCAAAATAGCACCATACAGTTGCAAGGGGAATTCGATAGAAATTGGGTATTTCTTTGATAACTTTTCTTTAACAGCTATTTTATTTAACATACATGTACATCCTCATGTGAAGAAATCGCGATGAAAAAAGTGACGTTAGATCTAAGTTTTAGTTGGCAGTTACTCAATTGAATCTCGAAAACCTGTTACTGAAAATCGGTATATTTTTTGCTTTAAAAATACGATTTTGCCTCTTAGAAGTTTCATAAAGATATTGTACTACAAGTCAGAAGTTTAAAAAAGTCGCCTAGTCAGAAAAAGATAGAAAAGAAAACGTTTTCTTTCTAGCCAATGTTAATGGAATTGTAATTTCAAACACCATTTTTAAAATGTCGAGCAGGTTTTAGGCTATTGACTTTGATTACATGGACTTTAATTGACATAACTTATAGTTGCTAACAGCTGTTTTTCTTCATTGCTTATTTCTATCTTCTCATATCGTATCTTGTAATTAATATTACTAATCACGTTTAAATTCTCTGCTTCTAATCTCTTAAGAATTTTGTTTTTGTTTTAGAATTTGCGAGGAATAAACTCTACAAAAGAAAATTGCAACCAATGACTTAATTCTATAGTTCTATGACCTCCATTCACTTAAATTTTTAAAACATATTTCATTAGCTGTGAGACTGTTTGCAGCAAGAAAACACTTTTTTTAAGCTACAGGTAATCGCAGACGTGCAGTAGTTCTATCTTAGCATTACTTCACAAAGAATGAGATCTTTTATCGTTACTCAAAGAATAATATTTTTTGGTGATTACAGCCGTAACCGTGTGATATTTATGTGTGAAGACTAATTATTACCTTTCGGGTTACATTTTAAGACTTTTAAGACCCATTTCGGCTGTTTGTTTGTTCGTAGAATTTCGCGCAAAGCTACTCGAAGACTATCTGCACTAGCCGTCCTAAATTTTGAAATATTAGGCAATAAAACTAGCCAACAACACACACCACCAGCTTTAGGGCTACAACTTATCAACGGATAGTGGGATTGACCGTTGCATTGTAACTCTCCCCAGATGAAAGGGCGAGCATGTTCAACGTCGATCCGCAGATTGTGAGTAGACCGGCTTAAATGCAAAACCATGCCAGGCCCAACCATTTCGGTATTTTTGTCAACCTTCTTAGTTATAATTCATTACAAAATGAATGTCACATATTAATCAATTTTAATTTTACCAAAGCATAGAAAGCGTTTTTTAACTATTGGAAAATAGATGTTCCAGTCGACATTGTAATAAGGTGGAATTTCCATTTCTGTCAAACGTAGACCCCAGGTGGCTCAGAGGTACGTTTGAGGGTTTCTATTGCTAAAAATCTGGTTTGTAGCTTTGTGCTTATCAACAACAAATAAACAAGCCGACAAATGTAATCTGAACAAAAAGAAAACAACTTCTGTGATCATTCTCTCTAGTTACAACAACCAATGTAAGGTCAGATTGTTTGAGAAAAAAGTAATTTATTCAAAAATGGATATCTTTAAAAATGTTACGGATCGAGACACATAGAATAGTGAACGTTACCTTAGTATATATATATTCTTGTCTTCTAGCATAAAACTAGATCCGTAGTTTTAGAATTTCTGGGACTTTTGAGCATGAAAAACAAAATAACATGGATTTGTTGGAATATTCGATTTCTTTAGCAGTTTCTCTTCGACACAGTTTTAAGGGATCTAGCGACAAACAAGAGAAACAGATTAGATTACACAGTAGAGCCAAATCGTTAGTGGCACATTGTAGGTGCTAGGTACTGGTGTACAATTTCTAATTTTATACAATTGATTTCCATTGCTCGTTGTTTTAAGATTTGCATTTCGTTATTTCCATTTTGATTTGCTCAAATGTAAAGATCTGTGATTTCTATATAGTCTTGTTTCTATTCTAAACATTAATTAATTTAACTGTTTCAAGTCAACTGATTGTATGCTAAAGATGCTTAAGATACTGTGCTCATATTTTATTCGAATACCTCATTTAAGGTTTTTGTCACACAAGATACACATAATTTTACAATGACCTTTTGAAAATTAGTATTCAATTTCAATTTGTTTCTAAAAGTCTAAAAGACTGTCTTATATTCTATTATCATAATTTATTTTTGGGCTCTTACAAAATTTATATTTTTGACATTTCACGTAGAATCAAAATTAGTTTTCGATTTTTCTTGTATTAACCAAGATATAAGCACATATTTTGAATTTCTCACCATCCAGCTCAAGATAACAGATTACAACTGTAAAGTCTACTGTCGCGATTTTCATTTTATAATAGATGATTTTAAATCAATCTTTAGCAATTAGTAAAATATTTCTGTTTTTATCTAAAATCATAGATATGATTGTATTTAAACAAGATTTTTATGATTTTTGAAAAGAAATATGTTTAAAATAATATAGTATTATCACGTGCTCATATCCCTCAATAAATAAACAAGTAGTAAAGTATATATCTATAATATGTTCTGCTTCGAATTGTTTAATAAATCATTTTTACTCTTCTCGCTGTTTTTTTTAATGGATAAAAATATGTTATCTTTGTGACCTTATTCGAATGTTTTATTTCATTAAATATAGCATTGGTAACAAGAATGCAAATTTAATTATTCGCAAAGTCTGGCTTGTTCTAATAATTGTTTCACTCGACCTATGGATCCGAGGACTCATGGTTCGTGGCTAAATACCGCATAAACTCGTTCACAATTTTGGGCAGCGGGTGCGCTATAAGATTGATGGTCAAACACAACTATTAGCTCTGACAAGAGTAGCCTAAAAGCTGGTGGTAAGTGCTTTTGTCTAGCTGTATTCACTCTATTCTACCAGTTCAAAATTGGAAACAACTAAAGGCAACTTCTTTATTTTAATCCTTTCATTCAAAAGTGACGTCAAAGGAAGTCGCATAGCAATTCTGTTTTTTTTATGCTAATCCATATGAAAACCAACTGAAAAGAATACTGGCTTTTCATATTGGCATGTGCAGTATCCATCTTATTTAGGTTTGAAAAATATGTTTAGGAAATTTTCTAACAAGCAAAATGGAATCTTGCTAATTAGTAAGTCTATTTGTTTTTCGTATTAAGCATTTGATTGTTGAACAATTATAGTTTAGGAAACAGCCAGTTTTTAACATGACTCCTTTTGGAATCTATAGATTCCATTAGTAATGGATATCTGATAGCATTACAAAATTGCTATCTAATTTACTTTTGTAGAATATAATAAATCTTGTTGCATCAATTCATTGAGTGATTCAGATATTTTTGAATTACAGCTGTTAAGGTGATGATTGATGGCTGTGATATAAATGGCATCGAATGAGAAAAGCGCGTGTTGCTTCCCTGCTCATTCTGCTGTCTGTTTTAAATTAAAGTCAGAAAGTAATCTTGATGACAAAGATACCAAAGAAGACTCTCATTTAGAGGATTATGAATCCCCAACTGATGGTTATTTACTTCTTTTTCATTTTCTTCGCAAGGAGAAGGATATAGATCAATCTAAACAGTCTACGAAGTTCAGTCATGATTTCAGATGAAGGCAGAAAGCAGTGCCCAAATCCAATGACACGAAATGAAAGTTCAGTGGCCCACCAGAAGACAAGATGACAACAGAGTATTTCACACTATTCCTTCCCATATCTTTTGTCGATCAAGTAGTTGAACAGACCAACCTCTTTGCAGTTCATTTCAGAGCTAGCATTTGCACTAAGTCAATCGAGAGTAAGCAATATCTCGGTGTGCTTCTGAAGAAGGGCTTGGTGCACATGCTATATTATAAAATGTTCTGGCAGAAAGAACTGAGATTTCCCCTAATTGTTTATGCCACGAGCGAAAAGCACTTTAAAACGCATTCACTTCTAACAATGCTTAAAGAAGTATGCCTGATGACTGACCCTGAAGAAAAAATGTATGCAGATGAGCAGGTTATTCCATAAAAGGAAAATAATTCAGTCCACCAGTGCTTGCTGAAGAAACCAAAAAAATTGGGCATTAATGTGATTTATTGCTATGAGGTTAGTTGCCTCATCTACGACTTCCATGTGTATGACAGCAAACCTCCAGCAGTTGAAAAGAGTTATGGTTCCCAACCGTCATCAAGCTGTGTGAAATGCTCACCAAAAAACAAACCTCCTAATTATATTTTTAAAATTGGTTCACCTTCTTTGAGCTACAGATTAACTGAAATCCTGAGCCATCTTGACTGTTGGAATGACGCGATCCAAGAGGCTGGAATAGTGTTCTCTAAGGACAGAAAAAGAAAGAAGGACGTGATGCAAGTGATTGCTGTATGGATGTCAACTCTGGGCTGGCAGTAGTGAGATAGCTAGACAGCTAAGTCGTGCAGCTGTCGTCCACTCATGTGGCTGTAGAACGAATGACTTGAATATGAGATGGGACAAGAAGCAGCACAAGAATGTCTACATACCTTTCCCTGCAATAATCAAGGAATACAATGAACATATAGAGTATGTTGATTTATTTGACATGTTCATGACTCTCTACAGAGTCAACCACAAGTGCTACTGTAGGATATTCTTATGGTCGCTGAACCTTGTTGTGAACAATGCTTCGATATTGTATCGTCGTCATGCTGAACAGAAGAAAGAACCCCAAAAGGTGCATCCTGACCTCATTAAGTTTACAGCAAACAGAAGTGTGGCGTTGATTCAGGAAATCAAGGTGCCATCAGTGCTTGTTCATAATTGTTGTCATCCATCAATGCATGTTTCACCTTCAGCATCTGCATCAGAGAATGACGAAGAAAAATCAAATATCCCAAGAAGTGATCTGTGCTGATGAGTCATGGAACACCATTTTAATATTCTGAGCCCAATCAAAGATACAAAGTATGTCATAGCTATATAATAATGAGGTATATCAAGTGCAACTACCATCTGTGCATTATCAAGAACAAAAACTGTTTCCTGGATTTTCACAGATCTTTGACAGTTAACAGGTTCGTTTGTTTGTTTGAATTTATGCACAAAGCTACACAATGGGCTATGTTAAACTATAAGTTATTTGTATGCAGTGCTATGAGTTGTTTTACTACAACTATGGACTTAATCTATTATTTTGACAGACAAGTCTACAGAAAATACAGAAAGAAAAAGATTGGGTCATATGAGAAAGAACTAATAAACCGATAGAGAGGTGAAGGAAGAAAGTAATATATATTGCCAGTAAAATCAAAACAATTTCTAAATCTATGTGCTATTAACTATAGTAAAAATATCATTTAGTTAAGTTTTCGTTAAAATGAGTCAACTTCTCATAGGAATAAGAATAACCCGAAAGAAATATACGTACATGAGAAAAGAAAGTGAAGTGCGATGATTGCACCAAAGTGGTGACAGAAGTGGGATTCAACAATTCGTTAGGAATCGAAACCCAACAACGGAATAAGAGTTGGAAGTTGGAACTGCATCAACAAAAGCAGAAGAGGAAAGTCATTTGGATGAAGCAGTAAAAACTGGAAACAGTGATTCATTTAATTTTTACTGGTTATAAATTGTTTGGTTCATTGCTTAAGAGTAGAAAATTTACACTAACATTTAACACAAAGTCAGTTAATAAATAAATGTAGATAATGGAATGTATCATGTAGTAGCAATTGGATAAAGATGAGATACATGAGGGTTTAGTTGAGGTGGGAGTCACAAGAGATGATTTTTATATTATTGAGCTAAATGAAAAAAAGGAACTCCAAGTGTTGTTTATGAAGGTTAAGAAGGTGAGAAAAAACACTTGCAAATAGAAGCTTAGAAAAACGCTTAGAGGTAAAGTTAGAAAATAAGCAAAGAGAATTCGAATTAATGGTGAGTGGAAGACAGAGTAATTCTGGTGATAGGTCTGGCATGTATGTTCAGTTGTCTAAATTTTGCAAAAGCGATATTTTACTCTTCTTTTGAAAAAGGGGGACAGCAGAGGAATAACAACCACAGAAGATGGCGAGGAAACTACTTCCTGCTTTACCTGGAAAGGCTTTACTAGCATACAATAAGATTGAGAGTGCAGATGTACTTAAGTATGATGTAGTAAGCCAGCTGTTTGAGACTTAAAATAAGACCCAAAACTCGAGCGCTTTCGAATACTTAACTATTCTTCTTCAGGAGAACAAAGCTGTTTAGTTTGTTTGTCTGTTACAGATTTCGCGCAAAGCTACACGAGGGCTAACTGGGCTACTCTTTTACCAACGAATAGTGGGATTGACCGTCACTTATAACGCCTCACGGCTGAAAGAGCAAGCATGTTTGGTGGGACGGGGATTGGAATTCTCGACCCACTGATTGCAACTCGAGTGCCCTAACCACCTGGCCGCATGGCCAGCTGTTTAGAGACGTGTGAATTAAGTCCAGAGACTTATAGCTGAAGTTCAAAGAGTAAGAACAAAATGGTAAATTAGACATTTAAAGAGTGTAGAACAAAGCTCTAACTATACTGGAGACGCTAAAAAATTGTAGATTTATTGTTGCAATAACAAATTTTGACAATTGCGATGGAATCTGTTGTTACTACTGAAGTTTAATTGTACAATATGTTATAGATCAGCAAGTGGCCATCGAAATGCAGACACCCTTTCGCGCTTGAGTAATTACGAATAGCCTTTACCTCTCTCTTATTAAAACTATTATATATTGTATATAGATACGGAACTTAAGTTCCATCCATCTATGGTTATAAGTGATGTTGTGCGTGGATGCTTGTTTATGTAAATCAATGGAAAAGTAAGAATTTTTGAACTTACCAGCTCGAACGCTGAACAGCAAAGGGGAAGTGAGGATATGGAGAGTATTTCTTGATTAATTGTATATTGACATATATATGTAACAGACTCTAAATTTTTTAATGTTGTAGTGATATAAATATACATATATAAAATACTATGAACCTTTTGAAATGTTACAGTGATATATACATAAGAATGTGAAGTTTGTGAAATATCTAGATAAACTCTGTAAGAGTAATGTGATATATGTAAAGACAGCGAAATTGTCAGTTCTCCTCAAAAAACTGTGAGTAGTGTAACAAGAGAAGTGTGATTACATGCTACAGTTTTGGAGACTGATATAATATCGAGATCAGATAGAAACACAGCCAAGATTGGATAGAAACATCATTGTTGAAAGTATTTACGAAAATTGGAGGGGAGATGTGCAATGAAGCTATGCGTAACAAATAATGGTTAGAGTTGAGAGAGATGAAAAAATGGTCCGCATTTGGTTAGTCTCAAAGAGATTAGGTGATTACAGCACTATAAGTGATTAGAAGATGATAGGAGTGAATGGCTGCCTTTCTTGTTTATCTGGTGTGGAGATTAAGACTTATGATTATGAGACGTTGTAATTCGATATATGGCGAAAACGGGTGTAACAAGAAAAAGAAAAGAACCTGTTCAGCGTGGGTATGAAAAAGAAATATAAAAGGCAAGAGTTCAATGAAAGAAGAAGACCGAGAGATGTGAGAGAGAACGAATAAACCAAGAGAGGAGAAGGATGAAAGTAACATGCTGCTTGTAAGAAAGAAAACCTATTTCTAAGTCTATGTGCTACTGGTTATATTAATTAACAGCAGTTGTAATGTTTACATTAGTATGGGTTAATGTATGATAAAAATTAACTGAACCTAAATAAGATGGATGGAATTAAGAAGGGGAAAGCAAAATGTGAGGAAACCACGATCGTAACAAAATTATGTCAAAAGATCACAACAGTTATATACTTATCTAAAACTTGTTAGCTCTGAAAATATACCTATGAGTGTAGTGAAAACTATAAACCAAATACGTATAACATTCATGCAGGGTTTAAGGCATTTTAATCTATAGATTAATCTATCTAATGCTGTTAATCTATAGACGTAATTATTGTTGTTTGTTCTTTTCTATCCGATAAAGACGTACAATTTATAAAACTAACTTTTTTCATTATGTCGTCCAATTATAAACTTAGTGAAAATTTAATGCTTTTTCTGATGAAAAAAAAAGAAGAAAGACGAAGTAATTTGATGATCATAGGAAAAACAAGAGTTTCTATTTCTGTTTTATATGTTTTTACTTATATCCGATATCCAGGGATGATACATTATGAAAAAATGAAGCTTTACGATAATTGCGAATAAATATTTGATTACGAAGATAGTGCTTGTAATCAGGACTAAGAAGCTTAATGTAGTTTTCAGTTATCGTGAACACTCAGAGACGGGAGAGATGCAATGTTATATCTAATACAGCGTGAACTTGGAATTCTATTCTAGGCAACTCAGGTACTTCCAAGGCCTCCAATTGCTAAACAAATTTATATATGAGTCTTCAGGATAAAAATCCAATAATACTATCAAGTGCACTAAGAAACTAAAATGTTCTCAGTTTAATCAATAATGCGATTTAAAGTTTTGCTGTTACAATACATGGATAATTTGGACTAGACGTTAAGCAACAATAGTATCATTATGAAAGAAATGAAGTCCTAGGAAATAACAAACAAATAAAATTTATTTTCGATTTCTCTCTTAGAAAACAAACTACATTAAGTAAGATTAATATTGTAAGCTGCAAAACCAAGGAAGAGTGAGAATAAATACCGTTAATACTTCTTTAAAATGAATAACTTCTAAGATTTAATAATCTGTTAATTCGTGCTTCTATACTCCATTATTTAGGGCTTAAATTAAGAATGAATGAAGTTTGCTAACACGTTACAAGCAAATTGAAACCAACATACAAGATAACTGAAAAGAAGTTGCCAACACTAACTAGCTTGTTTATAATTAACTATCTGAGTTATCCGGCGTTGTTCAGTGAAAATTTAGATTTGAAATGTATAGATCAATATTTTTTTCAGCAAATTATTCAGTAAATACACTAAAGCTGTAATGCGAGAAATAAAAAAGCATTTAATCCAACAAAGCATTATTTGAAATTAGATCGTGTTTGAGCTTGTCTTGTTCTTTGAGCCTGAAGTCGTACATCATGTTGCTCCTCTGTTTCTTGCTCTCTGTAAGTTATTTGTCTTATTTTTTGTGCTTGAAGTCTGGTTTGACGTTGTTCAGAAGTTTCTTGTTGTCTATATCCAGCTTGCCTTGATGATTCTGACTGAACTCTGGCTTTGAGCTGTTCCAAAGTCTCTTTCTGTATTTGAGCAGCCTGTCTTGCAGCTTGTACTTGAAGTCCTTCATTGCGTTCTTCTTCTGTTTCAGCTGTTCTTTGTGCTTGCATTCTTTTAGCGGCAGAAGACTTTCCATAGAAAGGGCGTTTCTTGGGTGGCATAATCATCTGTATCACTAAACAATAATTTGCAATTCACAAAGCTACTAAATCATTTATGAAACCACTTCGCACTATTTAAAGAAAACTGTTTTTGGAAATACCGAATTGACAGCAAGGGGATCTGAGTGTCTCCCGCCATAACGCTTTCTATGTGCAAAACGTGCTTATGTTTGTATGTTTATTATACAAAAAATAGTGTTACAAAAATGGTAGCATAATCATTAATTGTCAATTTCGT